GCTGCATTTTTACGGATTCCATTTCGATGACATTGATGTATGACTTATTTTGATTCTTTGGCAGCTATTATTATTTAAATTTTTCAAACATTCATATCGTTCAGATATTTATTTTTCTGCGTAAAATGTGTTTCCTTAAAACACTTCACAAACACTGATATTCTCGAAAAAAAATTTAAAAGTAGGATTTAAAGTTTTAAATTGAAAAACCCTAATTAATAACATTTGTATAATCATTAGTTCTTAAAATTAATGCTCAATTTAGCTTATGCATATTTTCACATAATATATGGAGAATACTTATATTAAAAATTCATTTTTACCTATATATAAAACTGACACTAAAGCGTAAGACCTATGATCATTCTTTTCATAACATCCTTTTATGTAGTATATTTTTTATCTAAGGCTAACTCTGATTATTGTCAGCAACTTCTAATACTGTGCACTAAGTACAAGTACTTAGGTTAACAACAGGTGTGATATTGTACGTATTTAAAACTATTTTTCATACCAAATAGTTTCTACTCTGCGAGGCCCAGCATGGACAGGTGGCTTGGGTGCTCGACTCGGGTCGCGGGTTCGAATCCCCGTCACACCAAACATGCTCACTCTTTCAGCCATGGGGGCGTTATAATGTGACGATCAATCCCACTATTCGTTGGTAAAAGAGTAGCTCAAGAGTTGGCGGTGGGTGGTGATCACTAGCTGCCTTCCCTCTAGTCTTACACTGCTAAATTAGGGACGGTTAGCACAGATAGCTCTCGTGTAGCTTTGCGCCAAATTTAAAAACAAACAAACAAACTGATCTGCGAAGAAAATAACTTCTTCGAAAATAGTTAAATGGTATCTAATATCTAATGAACTAATCCAATAATAGTCAATTACTTCCGGGAAATATGTTTTTTGTAAAAGTTTGTTTTGTTTTTTTATGAGTGAGAAAATGTGTATCGAATGCTTAATTAACTAAGTAAGACATTATTAAGACTTGCGTGCTTGTACTGCACTTATTGTGTTATTGTATTATAAACCGTCATTTCCTTCAGAGGTCTAATTTATTTTTTATACAAATTTGTGTTATTTAATAGTGATTTCATATTATCTTTAGATTTACAATAACAAGTTAGAAAACTTGTTTGTACTGAACAATGTTAAGATCTTCACCATTAAAGTGATATCTTGGTTTGTTTTTGATTGTTTTTAATTATGCACAAAGCTACACAATGGCTATCTGTGCACTGTCCACCACGGGTATCGAAACCCAGATTCTAGCGTTGTAAGTCCGCAGACATACCGCTGTGCTACTGGGGGGGGGATATCTTGGTAACTTAGAACTTTAGAAAATCTGCTCATAAGATGCAATAACTTTTTCATTTATTAACCTTTGTATTAACGCTTTTATGATTGATAAACGGTTACTTTCATACCATTTTAGTATGGAAAAACAAGAGATACTGTTCATTTTGCAAGTGAAGTCATTTATATGATGCCTTATGATTCATTCCTAATTTTAAACTATCAACTGATAGATGAACAAATCTACTTACTCTTCGGATATAAACTTAGAACTTATCATATTTACTTTACTTGAAGATCTTCACAAAAGTTTGCATTGTATTACTTTATCGAAGAAACGTAGAAGTTATTGCTTGTTATTAGGGATCATTAATGCATTTGAGATAATGCCTAAATAAAAAGTAAACCAGAGTTAAGCATTCGATTATATAATACAGATATATATATATATATAGATAAATTTGTATAATGTATAGATAGGTAGATATAATATATAGCTAGATAGATATAATATACAGATATATATATATAATACACAGACAGATATGTATAATACATAGATATTTATATATGTAATGCATAGATAGATATAGGCTGTTATACTTTATAGCCCCTCTTCCCCAGTGGCTCAGCGGTAAGTCTATAGGTTTATAACGCTAAAACCGGGTTTCAATACCCGTGCTGGGCACAATACAGATAGTTCATTGTGTAACAACATTCAAACCCTCTATAATATGAAAGTCTGGAAGCATGAATAACTTTTAAAGATTTATACTGCCGCGAGAGTCTCTATTTTTTTTGTATTCCGTTTAACCTGTCTTAATTTCTCAGACTAGCTGCTTTTCAGTTTTATTTGTTCAAGTTTTTTTCTTTGTTGTTTTCAAGTCAAGCATTTTCATGTTCTTAAATATTTCCCTTATTTTTATGCAGAATCATTCCCTTTAGTGACTACCGTCAACAATAATTTAAGGGTTTGGTTATTTATTTGCTTTTCAGAATTTTCACGAAAGCTATACAAAGGTTATGTGCAAAAACACGTTTTAATTTAGAACTGGTATGCTAAAGGGAAGGCAGCTAGTCCACAGCATCCGGCACTAAATCTTAGGCTACTCTTTTCTCGACCGAATAGTAGAGTTTGACCGTCACTCTTATGGCACATTTACGGTCCTAACGTGCGGAGCGCGTTTTTACAGCAGTAGGTGGTGAATTATGAAACCCCGGATTCATAGCCTGGACACGCTAACTACTAAGCCACGTCTAACCCAAAGGTTTAATAAGACGTTATTTTATCGTACCTAGTATAGATGTGATAAATACAGGATGGATAAGGTTTATTTTACAGAATATGGATTAAAATAAAACTAAAAATATAGTAAATGGAATATAGTTTCCTGAGTATCATGTGCTTAGTTTTCAAAACGATACAATCACATGTTTTGTAAGTAATAATATTTTATTTTTCTCTAATAAAAATCATATATTGCAGACTTAAATAATATTACATTACATTTTTTATTTTCTTAAAAAGAACTTTATGATACTTATCATTAGCCATTCATACTTAAAAGGAAAATATGATTTAAATAAAAACAAAAGGTATGTTGAGGTAACGACTAATACTACACACAATTTGCAAACTTTACACTAGTACAAATATTTAAACATATACATATATATGAAAAACAAAAACGACAGCAGAACAATGGTACATGTTTGTTAAGTTACTGCAGGGTAACAGTATCAGTTTTAAAGAGAAATGATAAATATATTTCACATAGTGAACAAAAGTGAAATGTTTTCGATAAATATTATTTACATTGCTAACAGAGTTGGTGAGGATTTCTGTTTTATACCGTGTTTGTTGAACAAATATGATCAAATTAACTTGAAAATCTTGAATGATATTTATAAGGTAGATTTTTCAAAATTGGTAATTATTAAGTCGTCAAGAAATTAATCTCGCGTTTGGGAACACTTTCATTAACCCCCTCTCCCCCCCCCCAAAAAAAAACGTACATCATGTATAATAGAAAAACGAACTGCCTGAACGTCACGTTAGTGTAGCCTATATAGTGTGTAAAGTTTAGTATACTCTAATCCCATATAGTGATGGCAACGACGAGAGACACATTCGGCATGTAATGCTGTTGGAATACAAGAAGAGAAACAACGCCTCTGTAGCCACAAAGAATATTAAAGAAGTTTATGGAAATGTTTTCAACGTTCGTAAGTATCAACGATGGTTCAGCAAATTTCTTTCAGGTGACTTTAGCCTTAAAAACTGTGATGGCAGGGGACGACATGTCGGAATTGATATTGATGCTCTGAAGATGTTTGTTGAGTCTAACCCAAAGCAACACACTCGTGAAATGGCCCTGAAATTGCATGTCTCTCACGAAACAATACGTAAACATCAAATGAATATGGAAACTCCATAAAGTGCCTCACGAACTCTCCGATTATCATCGTTTCCAACGTGTGAACGTTGCTTCATCTCTTTTTGTACATAATGCACGTATGTAAATGTCGAAGGTGTTAAAGAGGACATTGACATATTTTTTGCTCCAAAGCCAAGTGATTTCTTTAATCAGGGCATTAACAACTTAATTGTAAGATAAAAAAACATCATTGATACGAATGGAAACTATTTCATTTGATAAATGTTTTGTTTTGATATACAAGTTGTTCGGATTTTTTGCATCTAAAAAAGTGACATTAATTTCTTGATGACCTATTAGTTACAGATACTAACAAATGTTTTTAAATAATTTATTCTGAATAAACCAGACGTGAAACAATTTACGCTTTGATATCTCTATACACCTGAAATATTATATATTTATTATGTGTAAATCGCTGAGCTAGACAATATACAATAAAAGGCAATCTAAAAAAAAGCAGGGTACATCATATTTGCTAGAATAGTGGTCGTTAGTTATACTTTGCTTAAGTGTATATAAGACTTATAAGAACCGATAATAATGATTCAGATCTTCAGATCAAAAAATTATGATAACACGCAATAAACCCAAGCAAAAGATAAATTTACTGAGTATCGTCTTCAATAGATGACATCATAGAGATTATATAGGCTCTGAATTCAAATCGGCGTTTTTCTAACTTCGTTAGTCTTGCATAATTATTATAATAAACACAGTACAAAACCATTCTGAGATTTTAAGTGATATTGAATCAAAATGTACCAGTCTAAAGTGAAATACAAAGTCAAATAAGCCGAGTTAGAAACAAAATGATTTTAGGGCTTTCAGCCTTTAGTTGTATAATATATTTTTTTTCTTTTATAAATGACAAGATCAAAAATTGGGATTTAGCAATGTAATGGTCAAATGGCTAATGTGTTCAAAACCGTTGAAAACCGGATAAAAGTTTGATTAAATTTATTTTATATTAGTTTGATAAACAGGAGGGGTTACCTATTTGAACCACTCACTCCACTATAGAACAGTGTGTTGTCTATCAGTCAGTCAGTAGACACTAAAAACGTCACATAACGTTGCAATTTGTATTGTCGTGATGTCAGTAAAACGTGCGCATGTCATGAACCATGAGAAGAATTATGCACTCTGTAGGCTACAACATAGCATACTTTATGGTTAATAAATTTATGATGTATGTTACTCTGTTCGTACTTAATTTTACACAAATGCACTTTTTTATCATATTTATATTTCTTGTGTTTATAGCAACCGGTAGTTTGACTATTATATCACTCGACGTTCCGAGAAGTGCAAGAGTTGGCGAAAAGACACGATTAACATGTAACTACGACCTTGAAAGGGACAGTCTGTACTCGGTTAAGTGGTACAAAGATGATTTAGAATTTTTTCGCTATGTGCCAAAAGACATTCCTCAACGGCAGTTTTTTCCTCTTGAAGGCATCAAAATTGATGTAAGTTACTATTTTCACGATTGCCTTTTTAACAGATTTTCAAGAAATATATGCCATAACACAATATATAACGGTTATATATATATATATATGTATACGAACACTTCACCGTAGCCCTAAATAACTACATTCGATTTTCACGTGCACTGCAATATTCTTAGCTGTCAGCAGTTTACGTTTTCGTCTGTAGGTCATCATTTTCAATGCTTGAAGGAACAGAAAAATGATGAAATATTTAACTTTTCAATTTGGTAATGTTTTACTCAAAATACTCAAGTAATGTACGCGATGAAAGCCAAAATCTATTTTTATTTAAAAAAAAAAATGAGATAAGTTCCCTCTTTATGTCTTTATTCCAGAATTATACCATAAAATATTTTCTGTCTCAAAAGCACTCATTTTAGATAACATGGTCTAATACAAATCAATCAAAAAGAGTACTTCCATCGAAAAAAAAGTAATAGAAATGCTAGGTCTGCGTCTTAAGATTTTCAAATGCTAGTAAGAAAGTTTGAAGCTTAACATTTTATCATAGCAGCAATGAGTTGATGAGTAAAGCCAAACAAACATTATTGGATGGCCTAGCTTTTAGAAATATAAATGTGATTTTGTAACCATTTATAATAAAAATGTTAACGAAAAATAATTCTAGAACTAATCACACTCAGAATATCCCAAACTTCACAAGACTTTACCTATCCGTCTTTAATCTTAGAGCTGTTTTGTATTTTTGTTTTTAAAAGACAACATTCCCATTTACATGTAAGAAATATTTTCAAAGCTAGTTCATGGTGTTATTGGAATGTTGAAAGTTTAATTTTTGACGAACTACAAATCATAAAATAGATATATATACTGTAATGTTATTTTTATTCAGCTGTCCTTTAAATACTAGATAGGTCATATTGCAAAATGAATACTCTATTTATTTCTAACACACACGTGTATAAGCACTAAAAAATTAAAGTGTGAATTATATGGCTGACAAATATTTTTACTTTGATATTTTCTAGTATTATGAAAATGTTTGTTTTCTGTTCTCAACATGTTATAAATAATAGACGTGTAAATAATTCACATTATATAAAAAGCATGATTTAACGTGAATAATGCTAACACTAGAAAATGCTTGTTTCATGAAACTTACAAATACATAACTATAAATTCATAAGTTCATAATCAAGGCTCTTTGATAATAATTTTGATTGATATGCACATAAGCTTTGTATTGACCTTTACTTCAGTAAATTTCACCATGACGTGTTTAATATGTAATGGTATGCCTCTTTTAATTTATTTGCTTGACGTATATTGTTTACAAAATCTAAACTTACATATTGTAAGAAAAGCTTTCCACAAAGGGAAAATAATAATAACTTCCGATCAGTGCACGCTGCGTACTTACAACAAAACTAGAAACCAACCTGACCATCAGTATAGCTAACTAAATACATTTTCTTACGTTTCTACTTATAAATATTAGAATGCATTGTTTCATCATTTAGGTATTCAAGATATTAACGACATTTTCGACCGTAATCCCAATAATATCTCACGGAGTTCAGCCAGCTTAGGAGATTTAGGTTGTTCTAAGTACATATTTTAAGTTAACAGTGCAAAACAGTTTTTAAAATAATAATATAATAATAATAAACAATAAATCAAAATAAAAAGTAAGGACATTGAATATACTAACTAGCATAACACAAGACTATTATTGAAAGTGACAATAAATGAATAAATAAATAATACAGTATACCTTACTTGGGGAGCAAAGAATCACGAGCTGTTGGCTTGAATTATCGTCGTAGAAGTAAGTTATCCAGCAAATGCTATTTCGCTCGTAAAGGAGAAGCAAGATATATGAGTACAATTTATATATATCTCACTCAAAAGCAGCACGAGTTGTCGGTTTATAAAATAGAAAGTGTTGTTTATAGACATCATAAAATTAAGTTTAGTCAAGTTCAAAGGAAAACCATCATTGCAATTTCGCGCTATGAAATTGAATAAATAATAACATAAAAACATAAACACAAGTTAGGTTCATGCTATTTCAACATTACTTTTTACTCCAATGTCCTCTCTCATTCCAATTTGAGGGTAAATCATTGGATATATCCGTAAATTTACCACTCCTATACGTAGGAGTAATTGTCTTTGAGCGCTTGACAGTACCTCCTCTGGCGAAGTTTCTCTGACCTCCTTTGCAGCTAACATTTTAGCAACTGGTGTGCGCCATCGTGATCACATCCACATATGCTACACTAGTAACACCTCGGATATTTTGTAGATTAACTTTGAATCTCACCTTGTTTCCATCTCGACAAGAACAAACTCTCATTGATTCTGGCTTGTTGTTTCAACAGTTCCTCAAAGGTTTTACTAAAAGTTCGATGAGTGTTCCAAAGATAATGTACTACAACAATGCTATGCCACTGTCGGAATTAGGGTAAAAAATCTCCCAACTTTACTGAAAAAAAACAACAACAATCATGGCCTCTTTTGATGTTATCCAATTATAGACTGGCATACACTTCTGGATTCCTCATAAAATAATGCATATTCTTGTACGTTTTCAAAAAAAAAAAAAAAGACTAAATGCCGGATATGATTCCTACAAAGTGCTGTACCGTTTCTGCTGCCATTGAGTTGGAGATTGCTTGTTAAAATGATACTTGAATCTAAATAATGGCACATAATATAACCTTTGCATATCAAGACAAAAATATTTGTTAGAGAGAATAATATAATTTAGAATAGCGTTAGCGAAAAAACCTCAATAGTCTTTTTTTAATTCAAAAGGCATTAAGACATCATAAGCTTTTATTAAGACCTGCATTAATAAAATATGGGTTTGCGTGGTCTACTACACACCTTTTATGTAGAATTCTAAGATAGAATCCATACTACACAAAACGTTGTTGAAACTTAGCGTAATATTCTTGATTTAAATTACTTTAATAACAAAGTTGACTTAGCAAGTGATACAAATATATTTTTAATATTTGTTTGAAGCAAACATCTTGTTTTCATTAATGATGAATGAATATTAATTCCTGTTTTCTTATCTTATTTTGCACTTGAGTCTAGGTTAATACTAATGGATTGTTTGAAAATAATTTCAATGTACTTTTTGATAATTAGTTTTCGTTTATTAGTATTATGTCTAGCTCTTCAAATAATTGGTGTCAAGTTTAGAGTTTACAAACTTTTTTGTAAGTATAATTTCAACCTGAAATAATTCCATGCGAATCATTAGTTCACTAGGTCAAATCATCAGACTGTTTATATAGAGGATATTCAAACTGCCACATCAGGAAGATACAGATGCGAAGTTTCTGCGGACGCCCCATCATTCCGTACTGTCTCTTCGGAGAAAATTATGGTGGTTCAAGGTACAATTACAGACTTAAATAGAAAAATTTCGATGTATCAATGGCTAGATAGGGTTATAAAACTATGATGTTAGTAAAGAAAGAAATATATATAGGCTACAATGTTTCACCCTCATGAACAGCCCATCTTTGGTAACAAAGATATTTAAAGTTATCGATTCATCTTCTGTTCTGATAGTAATATGAGGAATTTAAATTATAAGAATGTGATTAATAATTGAAATTAAAAATGTAAAGAAAATATAATAAAATCAAAGAACATATTTTGTTAAAAAATCGGTCATCATAAAATAAATCAAACATATTTTAAATATAACGATCTTATATTCTTGTAAAAATTACAAACGATTGTTTTTTTTTGTTTGTAGTTAAGCACAAAGCTGTACAAAGAGCTATCTGTGCTCTGCACACCACGGGAGGGGGGGGCAAACGATTGGTATTACTGGTAGTAGAAACGTTTAGCAATGAACGTTTCCTTTTATCACTTAATTAAATGTATGATATTATATTACTTATGTTAATGCCCCCAGTAGCACAGCGGTATGTCTGTGGATTTATACTGCTAAAAACCGAGTTTTGGTACCTGTGGTCGGTAGTTCCCAAATTTCCCTTTATGTAGCTTTGTGCTTAATAACAAACAACAACTTATATATATATATATACATTTAATTTAGGGAAGAACTGTATTTTAGTTCCATGTTTTTTTGTTTTTTTACAGACGCCGCAGGGAGTGCAGTGGGCCATCAAGGTAATAAGAGAATGACGTTCATCAGCTTTACGTTGCTTCTTCTGTTACGGAAAGTATTCCCCTGACTGGGATAACGGATGTGACCGAATTACGGAGAAAGTCGACGGAACAAAATAAAGCTGTTTGTTTTCTGGCAAAGAAACGTTGTCGGAATCCAAAACATTGAGTTTCGATGATAGGCTTGGATAACTGCAACTGTTATTCAGAGCGTCTAACGTGCTCTTGTGATTGTTATTGCGAAAACCTAATTTTTCTCCCAAAGTTTGTTGCTATTTTTAAGGAATGCTACTTCTTAACTAACCCTATTTCTAGTTATTGGTATTGATGTAGTGAAGAAGACCAGTAACAGTCGTGTGACATCAAGTCGATCTAACGAAGAAGAAAGTTGTTTGTTTTTTCTTATGCTAATTGAAATGATAATTTCAGGCCATAAAGACTTAAAAATAAATTATTCGTGATGAAACTTCAAACAAATTTGTGAAAATTGGTCAAAAGTATGGATTGTTTATTTAAGGTTGTAGCATTGAAAATATTTTCACTGATATATTTTCTTTTCCTATAAACGAAAAAAAATTCATTAAAGTATTCATCACACCCGTTGTCCATGTCATGTTTGCTCTTAAATATCAATACTTTTATTCAATCTTTGTTCACCTTTATTGCTAAAAAAGCCATTCTCTAAACTATAATTATTAATATTACATCTACAGTATCCGTATAACTATTTCATTAGGTCACACCCTTAAAAAAACAATGCAGTAAACAATATTAAGATGAAGTTCCAAAACTGTGTGAGACTATAGTTCAGTGCTTGTAAATCTTTTTTTTGTTTAATATTTTCATCATAAACTCAGCTATATACAATCTTTTAATCAAACATTTCTTAAAACATGTTTCTCGAATTTAATCAAGCGTTAAACGTTGCATTTATGTGAAACTAGAGAAAGTACACGGCTTCGCTCGGGTTATTAGGTTGATTTATTCCGGATGACTATGCCAGCTATGTGTATTCTGAACCCATTTTACCTCTATACTTTTGTTGCTCCTTTACGGAATGTGGCCTGTTTATAAAGGTAACCTTTTCTCTGACTTGTCTTCCAATTTTAAACTTAAACAATAAAAACAACAATAAAAACCAAAACTCTTTAATTAACGGAGCCTCTAAATTAGAAAACAACAATTGTTTTTAATTTTGTAGTTTATACATAACATTTTATACTTTTAGCACATAGCCTCTTAACAACAATATCATGTTATACTTTTATTTCTAAGCAGCATGATATAAAAGCCATTGTTGGAACGCATTGTTACCAAAACGCACTGGCTTTTATATGTATTAAAAGTTGTTATATAAGGAACCACTTCATTTCTATGTTGTTTTTCGCTAGCTCGCCTCATTAAAAAGATGCGCACGCACGTGAATAAGAAAAGTAACAATACCCAGGTGCACACCCTCAGGGTCTACTTAGTATGGATGCAAAATTTTAGGTTTCTAGGTTTCCCTCTTAAAGCTATGGTTGTCATATATCTTTTCTATGTGTTTTTGTATAAAAAGATGCGCTCGCGCGCACACACAGGTAGATATGTAATAATATCAAGGTGCACACCCTCAGGGTTCACTTAGTATGGGTCAAAATTTCAGATTTCTAGGTTCTTTGATCTTGTTGATATAGTGGTCTCATATTCTTTCCTTTTTTGTTTTATGCTAGTTTGCCTCACAAAAAGATGCACTTGCGCACGCGCGAACACATGTGGATAAATAATGATACCCAGGTGCACACCCTGCTTACTTTGGAGTTATGGCGTTCACACACACACACACAGAGACATAGACAGACACGTCCTTTAATTATTATAGATTTTGTTTGTTTGTTTGTTTGTAATTAAGCACAAAGATACACAATGCTCTGCCTACCACGGGTATCTAGACCCCGGATTCTAGTGTTGGAAGTCCGCAGACGTACAGCTGTGCCACTGGGGGGCATTATTATAGATAACTGCCTGGGTCTGTAGTTTATTATTTACGTTTCTTGTAAACATTTTGTGAATACTATAATCACACTGTGATAAAAGGGTAGGAACTCCGAAGTTTCCATTATAATAAACACCTACTGATATAACAGATATATAACTGATTTTGGGGATTATAATGTTATAGGTCTTAATAATTATTGATTTATTCCATTTAAAGTTGTTTTTTATTACAAGCAAAACAATGTTCTTTAAAAAATAATGAACAGGTGATCATGTCTTTGTATATTTGGAACTTACTCTTGTTTAGCGTAACAAATTTGGGAATATTTTTCACTCGTCGCTTTTGTGAGTTTTTTTATTTTCTTGTGGAAAAAGCTCATAGAAAATTAAGAAAAAAAGAAAAAAGACTGCTTTGTCAGTATAAGGCTACATCGTGAGTTATCTGAACGCTGTCCACTGAGGAGAATCGAACCACGGAGGTTTGTATGAATAGTACGTAGACTTATCGCTAATCCAACGGGGGTGGCTAATACTAAGTTAAGGTTTACTAATTATTTCCTGTAAATAAAAGGCGTAGAAACTAAAGTATTTAAGGCATTCACGAGCTAAGATAAACAACACTTTATATTAACATAATATTATTCTTAAATCTAGACAACTGTAACACAGATATCTAAAGTGTGTTTTTAAAAGTTCATTATTTAAGAATTTTTCAAGTGATGTAGAGTAGATTGGCCACTTTTGTTGCAGTTATATTGTTCGTTTTTATTAATGGTCCTATTTCAGAGAGAAATCAACATTGTGGACGCGTAGGAGAAAATTAAATTATCAAGAGTGCGTAAGGGAAGACTTAAATCAATATCCTGAGTAAGTGTTATGGGTAATCAGCAAATGGAGTGACAAAACTGTAAATATTAATAAAGCGAATATAATAATATGCTAAGTGAAGCAAAATATTATGTACCATTTTTAAACAGATTCCTATATAAAGCTTTTAAAATATTCTAGCTTTTCTTGCAAGTAACTAGTAAGTATTAACAGTATTTATTTCAGGTTCTTTTATTTTGATTATTTTTAAAATAAAGACTTCGATAACAATGATTGTTTAACCTACGTTGCGACATAAAGGTTAATTGCTTAATGCATTACTTCTGGTAGATATGTTATAATGGAATATTATTCTTTACTTACAAAATAAAGTAAGACTCTCAACAGTAAAAAATAAGATGAATACACCAACGTTTCGGCATGTACAATAATGTATTTATATCAATATAAAAGCAGAAAAGTATACACTAAAAAACTCTACATGTTTCGGTAGAACACGCTTCACCATCTTCAGGAGACCCCCTATTTTCAATAATTTTGTTTTTTTAAATTTCTGACGATTCTGTTATCTTTAATTCTTTTTTTTTTTTAATTTACCTATTTAAGTATTTTTGGATTGTCTCAATTAATGACATATGAAGAGTTCGCCACATATTCCGCCAAGGCCGAATCACTCATTTCTAATTTACCAACAACATTTTTATGTTGTTTTATTCTAAATTTAAAATTTCTACTTGTCTGTCTAATATAAGTTAAACCACAACTACATGAAATTTTTTATGTTTCAGATTTATTTCTTAGTTAAATTTTATTTTTCTCGTCATTAATAATATTAATTAATTTTAAATGAGGAATAAAATTTGTTTGATAATCCATATTTTTCATAAACACATTACTTATATTTATTGACATTGATGGGACAAATGACAAATATATTTTTTCCTTATTACCCTTTTTGGTTATCTGCAATTTGTTACATCCAGAAACTTCTAATTTATTACAATATTTTTTTAAATACTACCTACGATATTAGGTTGATACCCTTTATCAACAGTATTGAAGACCGTAAGCGTTGTTAAAGTTTATTTCGTTTGAATAGATAGATGAAAATACGTTATATAATCTCATTTTATTATGTGTCGTCTCCGTTAAAGTGGTTGACTGTAATGGACTGCCAACACTCTCTGTTTTTATTCCTTCTTGTGCATTATGAAATGTTAAGTTCCATCCGCTGTTTAATATTATCCTCACATTTCGTTCTTTGCTGTTCTTTCCTCTTTTTCCTTTAACTTTTCCTTGTAGCATAATCTTCTGTATTTTGTAGTGTTTTTTATATGTCCAAACTATACTGTTTTCTTTGTTTTATATTTAGTTTATTAAAACTCTTTTTATCTGTTTTTCTGTCTGTCCAAGACAGATATTCTTCCAAGTCTTGTTTGTTTGTAATTAAGCACAAAGCTACACAAAGGGCTATCTGTACTCTGCCCACCACGGGTATCGAAACATGGATTCTACCGTCATAGGTTCGCAGAATTACCGCTGTGCTACTGGGTGGGCTCTTCTAAGTCTTTGGAATATTCACCTTTCAAACGCTTCCAACTTTTCTCTACAATTTTATCGGTTGTTTAAGTTTCTGTATCACACAACAGTGTCAACCACATATAGTATTTGATGATTAGCCTTTTTTAATATTTTATAATTTAAAATGTCAGTTTATGAGAAGTTTGTTTGTTTTTGAATTTCGCGCAAATTCGCACGAGGGCTATCTGCGCTAGCCGTCCCTAATTTAGCAGTGTAAGACTAGAGAGAAGGCAGCTAGTCATCACCACCCACCGCCAACTCTTGGGCTACTCTTTTACCAATGAATAGTGGGATTGATCGTCACATTATAACGCCCCCACGGCTGAAAGGGCGAGCATGTTTGGTGTGACAGGGATTCGAACCCGTGACCCTCTGATTGCGAGTCGAGTGCCTTAACCACCTGGCCATGCCGGGCTTTTTGAAAAGTAGTTACAAAAATACGCTTGTTGATTTTATTTTTAATATCATCCTAATAAGAGGTCGTAGATTAAAGAAAATAATTCATATGATTTTTATAGTAAAATTAAATTGTCATCAGGTGGAGCAAGTTTTATTTTTTTCATCTAATAAATAGAAATAATCTTTTATTGCGTGCATAAGAAGAATATATTATAATTTTGCTAAAAATAATATTGGTTTCTTTTTAACCTGAGGTTAAATGTATAAAGTTCTACTTAAAAATATTCCTAAAATTTATGCATTAGAGAAGGTTACGTAGAAAATAAAATATATTGATGGACAAGGTGCTCATCAGCATGATTAAAGCTCACTAAATAAATATTTTAATATACGATACATTTTAATATAAAGACAAATTATAAAAATAACAACAACAAGAAAAAAAATTACATCGGCAAGTAGTGCCTCACACACACACACACACACACATATATATATACACACGCATTAGAAATAATAAAATATCAATTATCTCTATTTCTGCCTTTAAAGAACGGTTTACATATTTAAATAAACACATAGGGTAACATTTTATTCAGATTTAAGGACTTTTACGTCATACACCTTCAGCTACTTATGTCTTGTTGAAACAAGGAGCACTGAGTTCTGCCAAATGTATGGCAGGTAATTGAAAATCATGAGATCTGCCTTGTAAGCAAAAAAGATGAGGAGAGATGTTTATT